TGCATCCCTAATATATATCTATATATATATCTATATAGATATATATAGATATATATATAGATATATATAATTTTGTTGACATGACACCTCTGTAGGCAAGTACTGCTGACAGAAAGGTATGCAAAGGTATTCAGATTATCAGCATTTGTTATAATCCGGCTCGCTCCACAGTGAATCTAAGCTGAATCCAGTTTTCTCCTTAAAATACTGTGGAGAGGGTGGACATCCAATTTATCTACTTAAATTATTTTCCGATTCCCGCTTTTTCATGGTCTGCTGAAGGGTTCATGGGTCGATGCTATCAGCTGGTTTTCCTTAGATAGAAAACTTTGAACCACTCTGACTGTATGATCTGGTTCAATTGTCTCTGTGTTGAATTGTCTTTAACACCACCACTACCACAGTGCACAACCTCGATCAATGTAAATACCAAAAAAAGTAAAACTAAAATATCAGGTTTCACATTAATACTGTAAAACATAAAAAAAGAAAGGAAAATTGCAAACTAAAGAGTTGTGATCTAAGCTTGTGAACTCAACTCGGAAGCCTTGTGCTGTGTAAGCATTTTTCAATTTTGGATTAAAAAGCAAACTTCAGTTACTGAGAATTGTACCAAGTAAAATATTTACTGAAGTTGTAGTGGTAATGCCTTACGTTACTGCATTACTGCACAAAGCAATGCATTACTTTTTTACTGCCTGATATTGTGTAGGCTTCATACAGTCAACAGTAGAAAATTATTTTGATACTTTTCTGAGAAAAAGTAAATTAAAACAGTAAACCCTAGTATGAGCCAAAATTGATTCTTTGAATGTTCTCAGGTGAAATGAACAACAGTGAAACTAACACAGAGAGTTAGTTAGCAGCTAACAGTCAAAAGTTAAATAGCCTAGCCTTAAGAACGCTGAACGTTACACTGAACAGGAACATGAGATAAAAAGAGTGATTCATGGTGGAGAATAAATTAGTTACTGAAATAAACTAGGTGATCAAACTGGTCCGGACAAAGCACCAAGTATAAGGCACCTGACTCAATCTAATATGCACTACCGTGCGTTTTGTGAAATGTGCATATAGTAAGTGTGAAACAGTGCCAAAATTCCCTAATGGCCGAGAGTGGTATCACAGGGACTTGATTGCAAAGGTGCCACAGACACTGGTTCAGGAGGACTTTCAGCTCAGGAGTCACTATTGAAACAGTTTGGTTAGAAAAATCATAGTGCAAAACACATTGATATGGAAGTTCAGAGCAGTAAAATGCAGTAGAAAAACATTTTTGAGTTTAGTTCTTTTTGGTTTGGTGATATCAGTGTGATGCAGAACCTGTGACTTGATTTAGATTTTTATATGATTTCTAAATCAGTCAGTTTCTTGCAGACTTTTCTTTGGAGATGCATTTATTGTTCCAAACACAATACTAAGTTGCAAGAGTGGAAATGCATTGCTTTATTTAACCATTCCCTTTATACCAATCATTGGTTAGCTGACAGTTTAAAGACAATTATCTAAGCCAAATAGAAGTCCTGCATTTGATCATGTTATACACAGGCAAGTCAGTTTTATATGTTTTAGTTCCCATAAATCACATGTACTTTGTTTAAATCTCTTTTGTCTTTGCTCTAAGCTTAGTCTGTTTTGCATATTTTGTTACCAACAATGCCTCATTTCATCAAACCTTGACAGAAAAGTTTAAGGAAGAGGCTTTAATTGAATAGGTTTTACTTACAAGAAGAGTTATCCGGATCGTTAATCCAGATTAAAGAGCTCCTTTGCTGACTGTTTAATGGTCGTTACAAGAAGTTTTGGAACAGGTTGTGGGAATGGGTCGTATCACTGTTAGCCAAGTCTGATTTATTCAGTACTATGAAACCTCAAAGTACTGATTTATTCAGTACTGTGATGTTTCATTAACTGTTGAGGAGTTAATTTTTATTGCTTGGATTTTGTCCCAGTTTTTCTGTTCACCTCATAATTTAAATTCTCATCTTGTTGTGTTCTGCATGCAAAACATAATCAGATTTTATGAAAACATTAAAAGCAACACATATTGTTTCGCTAAGCCTTTACCAGACAAGCTGTTGTTCCACCTCATCTTTCATAAACTGTACAAACATAAAAGGTTCACTCTGTGCTAACTGCATAGATCTTAAAAAAAAATGAAAAAAAGAAAAAAAATTAAAAGGAATTTTCTTTTTGTTTGTTGTGTGGTTGGTTTGTTACTTTTAGTATTTTCAGTTGTCTAAGAGTCCTTGAGTGGTTTGAGGAAAACAGTAGTGGAAATGACTGAAAATGTAGACTAAGATTGAATTTGCTGCAAGTAAAATGTTCATGTTATGAAATGTTATTTATTTAGTAAATAATTTTTTAAGCGATCGACTCTTAGTGGGAAAAAGTAGTTGACCTGCAATCAGAAGGTAGGCAGTTCTTTCTCACGTCAATGTGTGCACTCTATTTATCATTTAACTTCCATCCATCTTTCTTCCGCTTATTCTGTCAGGGTTGCTGTGGGGCCAGTGTCTATATCCTTTGGTTTATAGGCAAGAGGCAGGATACACCAGTCTTATGCAGGGCAACACAGAGACGCACGAAAACATACAACCATGCACACACACACACACACACACACACAAAGTAAGGACGATTAACCTTACAAGTTACATGCAAACTCCATGCAGAAAAACCACAGACTGGGAATTAAACCAGGAACCTTCTTGTTATAAGGCACCAGTGCAAACTGTGCTACCGTGGAGCCCACCCATTAAATTAAAATATCAAATCAAACACCACATGATACTGAAAATAAAGTTGGAAAAATTATAATGAAATGTCCTATTTTTGCCTGTTTTTGTTGCACAGCTATTTGCCCCTGAAACAGTTTGACTGTTAACTGATTGAAGCAATGCATCATCAGCCGTGTTTTCAATAGGTGAAAAGCTTCTGCAAATTAGATGTTTCAATCTACTCAAGTGACTTAACAAGGCCTGGCAAAGCCTAATGTTCTCAGACATCACACTGTAATTAACAGGAAGTAGAGTAAGCAAACTAGTGTGGACTACAGGTCGGTGATGGACAGATGTTTAAATATGATAAATGTAATAAATAAAAAATATGTTGCATTTGGTTTTTCTTACTTTATCACATCAGCTAGTATTGCAAAGGTTCATGCCATCTAGAAACATGAGAGAAGTGTGTTTCTAATGCTGCATTTAG